TAAGGTCTTAAAATTGTAATCAATAACTGCAACACCTTAATGAAGAAAATAAATATATTTAGAATTTATGTACCTACTATAGTCTATAAGTACCTAACTAACTATTGGTCAATAATATTGGATGATTGAGGTGTTGTAGAGTTGTACTGCCCTTTTCAAGCAGAATATAATATATTGTATTTCTCTCGGGTGAAAAACTGAAAACACGTATCTGTGATAGGTGCATGACGTAGAGTAAAACATGATTTTGCACTTAACCAAAAAAAAAGTGTAGTGTTAAAATAAGTGTAAATGTATAATTAAGTATAGTTTTTCTAAAATAGTAAAAAATAAGTGTTCTATAAATAAAATAATAACCTTTAGATACTTTATACTTATGTCGTTAGTATAACATTCTAATCAATGAATAATATGCGTTGTGTCACTTTTGTGTCAATCTAGTTTTTCTACTTATAATAAAAAAATGATTCACCGGTCACATTTATTTATTTTAATAAGCGTTTGTAGTTCAATTTTTAACTGCAATGGATGCTCATTGTTCAGTGTTCACCCATTGAAAACATAAATATTTTTCCGTAAATGTTTTTTACATTTTTTTGTACTTTGTTGTAATTCAAAAACAAATATCCGTAGATAGGTAGGTACCTACCTACTTGACGTTTCCACTGAATATGTATACTATCATTTTCTATATATGGTATAATTTTTAAAATATTTTCACTATTTTTGAGCTTTTTATAGACATTTTTACTTAACATTTTTATAAAGACATTTTTTTTCTACTGTATAAAATTACATTTTCAAAATATTTAGATTACTTACCTACTTTTAAACTATTACCTATTAATGACATGAACTTATTAGGTACACTGTTCTACGGACCTGCGGTAAGGTGATATTGCCTTAAAAGTGAATAACAATAATATAATATGATATAAATATACTCAATTATAGTTATTAAATAATTACAATGTAATAAATGCTAAAAACTATCTGCAAAAGTTAAAGCAACCAACGTAATAAATACCTAATAATACTAGTTTCAAAAATCACTTTAATGTTTAATAGTATTAAAGCAATAACAAAAAACAAGCTGACTACAGACTGCCTCCACTCAGAATCGTTTTTCATATTGGGTATATAATGATGTATCATTAAATTCAAGTTTAAAACATCCATTATAATAGACCCACCACGCAGACATTTCGACACCTACTGTAAAGCAGAACGGTAGGTATCCACTAGACAACCGTTTTATATAAAATATCAATTTTAAATTTATATAAACAGGTTGTTATTAAATTATAAAACGATTCATATCACAAATAGGCAGTTCACAAAAAAACCGCTAATTTTATTTTATTTATGTACCTAGAGATAAATAAAATAAATATGTTTACTATAAATTCCTTGTTACGCCTAACTAACTCATTTAAGATATTGTTAGGTACAGCCGTACAGGTAAATAAAAACATTGTTTTTTTTAAACGTTAGATATAATAAGTAGTATATAATTTATCATTGCCTACGAGATACCTATTTTCAAATTCCAGTTAGGTATTGGGCTAAAACAAATTAAGATACAATATAAATTATGGGTACACGATAAACTAGACGGTAAGAGAAGCGTGCCAGCGTCAGTTCCTTATCCATATATTTTATAGCAGGGTAAAAGTGTAAGTGTCGTATATAAATAATATTAACAAAATGTAGGTAGGGTCGTAGGGACTAGAGACTCAACATTGTGCATGTATTATAATTTATTGTTACCCACAGTTAAGTTAGTAGAGGACACCAATCTACAATGATCGGGTAAACTTATACCTATACTTATTATTTTCTTAAGTGCAGAAAGACCGAAAGTTAGGTATTTTGAATATTGAATTAATGGGAATAATTCCATAACACTTCTATTTTTATTTTTTAAATTATATTTTGATAGATTGTAATATTCTAGTTTAAATAAATAATAAAAAAATCCAGTTTGTTTCCGAAACAATATCTACCCATGTCCTATATCTCTACTTAATATAATATGTTAATAACTATGCACAACTTGTTATTTAATGTTAATCTTCAAATCAATCTTTGAGATTATATTATAACGGCTCTACGTTAAAATAATATTATAAATGTACCTGTCTATATAAGTCTTTAGTCTATAATGCTAATAGTGACTGCGGGGGATAATAAGATATATGAATATATGGCTGTGCACAAAATTCAACTGAATTATTAGTAACTGGATCAGTTTTTCTTAATTTTTTTTTTGGTTTTCCCTAAAAATTTTCAAACAACTAAGAATTTTTCACTTTTTTAGTTAGGTTTATCTGTATTTCAGTTGCCTATATTATTTACATGATATACAAGTTTCAGAGGTGTGCTGGGAGTAATTGTCTGTTGAGTAAGTACTGCACTACTGTGTGCACCGAGGTGGTTCCAAGTATATTTGTGCCTTAATTGACTGAGTGACAAAATATGTACCCCAATCGACTAACCGCCATGACATCAGATAACTTTTTATGCCAATCTTCATAATAATGGAATTTTAACTTAAACATGATGCTTAAACATTAAGTAGGAAGGAACCTTATAATTTATATATTTTTTAATCTCAATAGATTTTATCTAAAAAGTTATTTCACCTTGTTTTTATACGTCTTAACCTTACTATTAAATAATAGTTGATAATAATATGAAGTGTTTTAAAATTAAACTTTTTGGGTTGTTTCTTAAATATTTATTATGTTTTTCATAGATGTATGATGTATTATGTATTATGTATTATTAAATTAAAAAAATAATTAGTAAAAATATTTTAACTGTAAATGTAATATAAATTGAGTATATTGTTTCAAAGTATACATACACATTAATAAAAAGTAATTTTAATGATTTAAACAATAAATAGGTAAAGATAATTGGCATACAATTAATTGTATAGTAACTGGTGATAGGTAACTATTGGTGGTACAGAATATCACACGAGTAACCAAGGCCGTATCTAGGGGGAGGTTCAAACTACTATCAATTTTCAATTTTGTCCTCTTTTATGCACCAACAACATTCCTATTAGAAAAGATGCTGATGTAGAAAATTGGAGCATTTTTACTATCCTAAAAGTTTATGGGATAGAAAAAAACTCATCATTGTAAAATCTAGTCTTTTGCTACCTACACTTAGAATCTAAAAACTTTTTTTTACCTAATAAATAGGGAAAAATGTAGAATAGTGTATTACTGACTAACTATTTGTTTACAAAAATTAACTTATAGGTAAAGTAGGTAGCACTAAAAACTCTACCAATAGGTATGTATTTTTTTACTATCATCAATTACTCGAAATACTTACTATCAAGATTAATTAGTAGGTTTAGACAAATCACAAACGTGATTTATTTTAGTATTGTATTGCTAACTAAACTATTTTTTTCTAAATATCTTGGTCAATTTGCACTCAGTTTTAAGTTTGAAGAATAATGTCTATTGTTTTAAAACTATTATTAAAATAATAGCTACTTTAAAAAATTTAAAAACTGGTAAATTAGCATTTTATTTTAAAATGACTGAAAAAAGTCACATAGTTACATGGTAAAAAATTATACAACGTACATAGTATATACATTTTTTTACTTTTGGTTAAAGTAATATTTAAACTAAAGCGATATTGAATTTTTGGTAAGTACTGTACCTATATATTATACCTACAGTCAGTGATATACTTAAATTTAGGAGAAGGTAAATCTAAAAATTGGGTCATCTTAAAAGTGTATAAAAGTGATTTAAATTTAATAAACATAAAAATATATTTACATTAAATTTAAGTAAAAAGCAATGACAGTCAATGGAATTATACAACTATATTTTCTGTAAAGAACGTTAAAGTATTGATTGCATTGCACAAGTTCCCTGTGAATAATAAAATGTTTAACCAATTTCTGTTTATATTTACAAAAAAAACATAAGTATATATGTGTATATAAATCAAATAAAAATACATATTGATAAAATAATGATAATAATAATAATAATAATAATAAATGAACCATCAAACTCTAACCAAAGCTGTTAACCATTAAACATAACAAATTATAATATTTGTACTTAACTATTGTAACAATAATATCACAGAAACGCTTTCCTTAAACTTACAAAAAAAAAACAAATTAAAATTTATTGTATTAATTAAATAAATCTTACAGACAAATTAATGTATAAAATAAGGTAACATGTCTTTTATGTATTTAAAAAATGAATAACTGTTACAAATAGTTCAACAATATAAATTTACAATATTTCAAGATAATAAATATTGTCACAATTTTGGTAATAATTTTGCAATGTTCTAAATTACAATGTAAGTACCAATACCTATTTAAAAAATTAAGACTTTGATACAAGTGTTTAAATGAAAATTCAAATATTTTATGAACAGAATTACTAAATCAAAACTTCAATATTAAGTGATTATTGTCAAAAAAATATTGTTATACAGGCCGCGCCTAATGATTGAAAACAAAAAGACACATCTAATAGTATAATATCTATAAATAACAAAAAAATAATAATAATAACTGCCTTAAAAATGAATAAGCTCTATGATTTACCACAACTTGTAAGTAATAACAAATAAAACATAGAAAAATATTAGAGAATACAATTCTTAACCAACTATTATTATTACATTATTATTAAACACTCATAAACATTATATTTGTAGACATATAAAAATAGTTTTGGTAACAACGGTAACGGTTGTACTCTTATGAACAACATAAAGGTTAGGTAAACATTAAATATTATAAATAATAATGGTTTATATATTGTTTTGTAAGCGTTAATGAACACATGAAATTAATTAAAAAATTTGACACAGCTCAAAATTACAGGTCATTTCTTTCACAGCAATACCAAATTAGTTTTTAAACGTCAAATAATCTGTAGGACAAATTCCAATAACAGATTTATAATACATAGTATAAAAATAAATTGCTATTTTTGTATCAAATTAATAAAAACTTGGTATAAAAACATTAGACAAAATAGTAAAAAAAACTTTTGAAACTCTTATATCAATTACATGATTTAGATCTCTTAACACGGCAAGAAAATATACGGCTAAATCAATATTAGCAAACGGATTAAACAAATTAAATTAAAAACTATCTTATGGTTCTGTCTTAATTAACATATAGCAGGTACACTATTAAATATTAATACATAAAAAAATACATGTTTATATATTCTGTATGTTTACAAACACTTACAGTCACAGTTGTAACAAGTTTATTTAAGCATTGTGCAATAACATACATTATACCACTACTATTTATATGTTATTTACAACAATTAGATGTGTAGCACTAGGAACTTATGAGTACTGGTTTTGGTCCCCATTATAACATACATACAAAATATAAAATCAAATTTACGATCTGAAAACAAAAACATAATATTTCCTTTTTAATATTATCATCCCCCAAAAAAAAAAAAAAATAATAATAATAATAACATGCCCATAAAAGCGATATTTAAAAAACTAAAATGGTTTATTGGCCAGGTCATTCTTCTTCAGAACATGGTTTGGTGTAATATTGACAACGGCAATCTTAATCTTATATCCGTAAAATAAAATAAACATGATTTACAAAAGATAAAATAAACATAAAATTATTTAACAAACCACTTAAATATTTATATATATATATATATATATATATATAATATGTAATAAAATAATTTTAACAATTTGCTGAAAAAAAAATAACACTCTGAAACTATTGAAACATAACACTAACATAGTATGCACTGTTTGAAGACTAGATTATATATAATATATATTTTTTGACTTGCACTACGTATTGGATGTAGAAAGCGTATTAACAAATTACAGTGTTATTATTTAATCTACAAAAATATCTGACATGAAGGAATATAATATGCATACATATATGTTAAGTATATATAAATGTAAAAATATATATATATATATGTTACTGTAGTGAGCCAGTAAAGGTATAAAGCGCAATTTTATTGTTATATATTAAGTCAAAAATAATTTATTTTTTGTAAGGTTTGTATACCTAAAATAAATATATAATCTGAAAAGGTAAATATATATGAACTACTATGGATGACTGACTAGATAAAATGTATATTTATATACATAATGTTTTTTTAATGGAACTATTATTGTTGTTGATGAAAAACTTGATTGAACCCTGGTAAAGGTGTAGTGCCTGTTTCAGAAGTTTGTCGTAAAAGAGCAGACAGTATTTCTGATGAAGATGTAAGGTATTCACCAACTTGAAGCTGTGTTGGCTCATGTCCAACTACATGCTGAGTAGGCAAAATAGATGGTTCATGACTTGTCAGTACTGAGAGATTAGGCTCTATATTAGTTAGGGTTGAAGATGGTATCAAAGTAATTAATTGAGATAATCCAGGCATTTCAGGGTTGGTTGACTCTTCGTAATTGTCTGCTAGCTGATTGGTTAAGGTTGTATCAAATACTTTCAGTTCATCAACTGGATATGACGCTTGAGGTTCATAGCTTATAACTGGTAAATTGACTTCACTGGTTGATCCAACAGTTTGAATAACTGTCTCACTATTATTTTCACTGTAATTAAAACTAGTTATATTAGATGAATGGAACATTTCTATTTCTGACATTGTAGAAGAATTTTCTTGTTTTATGAAATCTCCACTAGTAACTGTTTCTGCTACATTCCTTTCTAACTTATATGGCTGACCACATGTTTCAAGATAAATTGCTTCAACCGATTTACTTTTGTACAGTTCAGTTGGTTTTTTTGGTTTGGATTTCTTACTCGCATTGATGTTGTGACTTTTTTTTATGTGTCGAGTAAGATGATCTTTACGACCAAATCGTTGAGGACAAAATTGACATAGGAAATCACGCAGACCAGTGTGTACAACCATATGTCGACGAACATCCTTACCAGTGTAAAAACTACGATCGCAAAAGTTGCATCGATATTTCTTATCAGCTGGAGTCTTAATTACCCTCGATCCTGAATGTATTTTCAAATGGTACATGAGTTCATCTTTGGATTCAAATACTTTACTACAAATCTTACAATCAAGGAATCCTTCTTCTACAGAATGTACAGCTATGTGTTTACGGTAACTAAGCACTGAACTGTACTCTTTTGAGCAACCAGGGCGATCACATTGTAAAGTCCGTTTAATAGGATTATGTACTTTGGCATGATTTTTTAAATGGTCTTTCCTATGAAATGTTCGATCACAAATTGTACAATGATATTGACGTTGGTCAGAATGTATTAATACATGACGAACTAGTTTAAATTTTGACGAAAATGCTTTTGAACAATGTTTGCACACAAATGGTTTTTCACCAGTATGTGAATAAGAATGTTGTGTCAATTTACATGGACTTGTAAACGACTTAAAACACACTTGACATATGTGTCGACCTCTCAACATCTGATTGACTCCAGGTTGTTGTTGTTGCGATGGTTGTATAGAAGTACTTGAACTTTCACCACTTTCTGTACTTTCAGCCACTGTTGGTTTTTGAGTATCAGATATACTCACCGTACTTTCGGGCTGTTCATAACATTCATCGAACAGCTGACGTTTACATGTGGCTGGTAATTGTAAAGTTTTTCTGTTCCTTTTTTTTGATTGGTTAGAAAAAGTAGGATCGCTAGTTGTAGCTGGGGTGGAAGACAAACACATACAAACATTTTGCTGCCCAGTCTTACCTTGAATGGGTTGATTACAATTCGGACATAATTGAAGAACATGTGATCGCAATTGGCGACCTGGTGATATCTGGACATTGGATTCATTTTTTGGCCATTGACAATCTGTAAAAAAAAAAATAAACTGTCAACTTATGTGGTCCTCTATAAACGAATGAAATAATCTTAAATATGTTACAGACTAATTTATTACAGTTTCAACTTTACAATCTGTAAAAAAAAAAGATAAGTTTATTACTTATGCTTTACTATTTTATAATTGTTTACTAGGAAAATATAAAAGTTATTCACATATACAATTATTAAAAAATAAAGAACATAACCCAAAAATCTTCAGCCATCATAATTTAAATAACACTAACAATTTTTATCATGGTTAAATACTAATTATTTTTGATTGTAATCTCTTTTTATGACTGTCGTTAAGAACACTTCTTCATATTAATTAGCAGTTATTAGGTCATTTTAAAAATAAAAACCTCTATAATGTTTAGACAGAATACAAATTCAGATTATTAATATTACAAACAAATGTTTCATTCTAGTACATATTAGTCGGAATAATAGATTTATATCAATTTATTTTATATTATTACACGAAAAATTTACTTTATTTTCATAAAGAAATAATAAGTTGCTCATAACAAAACTGTATTCAAAATAAAGTCAATTATTCTAATTCTATTTAATAGAAATTAAATAAGAAACCAATGACATTTTGGTAAATGTACAAAGCTCATTTACATACCTCACAGTGCCTATCTAAATTTAAAAATCAAACAACAAACAAAACATGCTCTGTAGGGATACTTAATTATATCTCTGGTAAGACATAATGTACGTCCAACAATCAAAAACATTTAAGCATAAATTCACAAGCTTAATAATCAACAGAAAATAGGTTAAGTAGGTAATATGGAAAATCGTATGTTTGTGACTTATAAAAGATCAATTTTTAGTGCATTCATATAATTATTACCATAATACTAAGTTATTTCATAGAAATTTAGGATGGTAAAATCGTGTTTATTCAATGCTTTATTTATAAAAACATGTTTAATCCATATTCAAACTATCGTGGATAATTAGATATCTTTCAAAAGTTATTGGATTTACCTTCAACACAATAAAACAATAAAATGATCAAAACTTTGGACGCATAATATAGAAAATATATCATAATAATAATTAGGTCATAAATATCTCCAGTTAATACGTCCTTAAATAAATTTAACAATATTTAAGAAATGCTTTAATCAATATAATAGCTAATGATATGTTATCTCATTATAATAAATATTTAGGTGCCTTGATTGGATTCGACTATAACTATGTCACTGGCTATGTAAAGCATTTAATCTTTTAATCCAAGATAAAACACAACTTTAAGAAGTGATAGCGATTTGTGTGACTATGTTAACTAGCATTACAGACTTTGCTAACTGTGACAAAAACAAAACATTTTTAAAGTAACGGTCGGCAAGCTTGCACTACACACCTTTGGATCCCATACCGAAGGCATATTCCTTGTGTTTTGGCAGTGCGTTTCCCTGTCGGCTTGTGGACCGATGGACGTTGTGTAGATGGATGTGGTATCCAAACGGTTCCGTGCGATCGGAACAACAGGCGATCAAACGATATGAGTGGAAAACGTGTACCCGGACCACCGAGGGTAGGTTAGGTTAGGTTGTACGAACAATGTGTGACCTGATATCACCGTCGGACGGGTGTGGCGGCGGAGGAGCTCGCGACCACCACACGGGCGCCGTGCCGTAAGTCTGTTGCTGCTGTAGCAGTTGTTGTTGCTGTTGCTGTGGCCGCGGCGGCAACCGGTAACACCCGCGTGTCCGTCTCCGGTTTCTGTCTCACGTTTCGGACACCTCAGTTTGCACCTCTCGATGGCCGTCGGCGGCGACGGTCGTGGCTTTGGTCCGCGGCAAACGATTCTCCGACTGGCACCGTGTGATTCGCCGACGACGGAACCGTGCGAGAGAAACACAGACGATTTCGCATTGTTATCAAATGCGCCCTTGAGTAACAGGCAGCAGCGGCGGCGGCGGCGGCGGCGGCGGCGGCAAGCGGTGGTGCATTGTTTTTGTTTTGTTCCGTCGTTATTTTTTTTCCTCTCTTCTACTCATACTGCGAATCGGCAGATAACGTTCGGATCGAGACCGCGCGCACGTTCCGTCCGCAGCAGCAGCAGCAGGCTGTCAGCTGATGCCTGATCGCCACTTGTCGGCTGTCGCCGCTTATCGGCTATTGTTCGTTATCGGCGCGACTCGCGGCTATTTTGTTTCGCTGTACTCGGCCAGTCGTCAATAATTTCAAGATAGATTTTTTTCGTCTCCTTCCCGCTCGATGGCACTCGGGAGTCGGGACAGTCGGGGTGATACTAGCACATTCTCCGTTGCCACGACGAGACGTCTATGGACTACTGTAGACGTTCTACTTTGAATAACCGGCAACAGCACAAATCGCCGAGCAAAAGAATCGAACAGCTTTTAAAATCTGAACACAAAAAATAAGAACGGCACAAGGACCTACCATTTACCAACACATTGTCTCACATCCTCTCCTCTACCCCCTCCACCACGAGACCTGTCGACGACAACCATAGACATATTGATATCAATAATCAATATATCATAACATAGTGATGTTCTACGAGTAATAGGCTAAAACAAATCCCTATTCGACTGTTCCTAGAAATAAAATATCAAAACATTAAACCAACAAATGGATAATTTCACTTTATCCTGAAATTATTTCAGTATAAAAGACTCAATTCAATGAATTATTTAATAACTATACCTATTTTATGTAAATGCGTTTTTATTTTTAATGAGTAACACTTCTTTGTGGGAGTAATGAATTTTTTACATTGATTATATGTACATATATTTTATGTATCTGATAATGTGTCGTGTATGTTCAATGTTGTATCGTAATAATGGTACATAAACAATTATATTACGTATTACTCTTATTAGTTATTAGTTTATTACCTAATAACTATTATTAGGTAGTAATAATACAGTCGAGCATGGAGTATCGATAACTATTAGGGTTTGGCAAGTTCTTTTTAAAAAGGAATTCGTTTCTCATTCCTTGAAAAAAAATCTTTCCTTGTCGTTCCTTTAGAAAACAAACGATTTCCTTTTTTAGTTACAAATAAAAGAAAATTCTTATTTAATCATCAATGTTTTTTTTTCATTTTTAAACTAAGCCCTAAGGTACTTAACTTTTATTTTTCATACCCACAACTCACAAGTACTTATATCTATAATTTTATAGATAATCTTTACATAACATTGAATATATATTTGTTTTCTTTTATTCATCTAAATTTATTATTTTTTCTAAACGGTATAAATTAATTTTATATTTTACCATTGACTTCTATATTTTATAATTCTATACTCGATCCCGATCACTGATTGGCAATATACACATAAAGAAAAAAATATTTTAAATTAAATTGGGGGAGGGGGATAAGGTGGGATGGAGCCAAACGGTGGAGAAATTCCTCCACTTTTTATAATTCATATTTTCCATCCCACCTATTTTGTACGGCTGTTTAAGCAGTATATAAGAACTACGTATATAAATTATAAAAAGCATCATTCGACTTATTTTGAGCTACTTCGACCCCTGTAGGTAGGTAGGTACAATTTACAAAATCCTAAACATATCATCATTTCTATAAGTCGTAATCATGGATTTCATAAAACATAATTTTTGTTTTTTTTAAATTTTTTTAGTGTCTATAAATAATCTTTCTTGGGTAAAATATTTGAAAATTGATAATAAGAATTTTCATAAGTTGTTCTTAGTGTAAATAATAAAATAATTACTGTATATCCGCAATAATTTTTTATGAGAGTTTAAAGTTAAAACGTTAACAAGATTCATCACAATCATAAATTAGTTGCACATTATTTTTAGGTAGAATTTCATAAAAAATTTCTTTTTACCCCTATCTAAGATTTCAAAATTAAATACAAGATTCCTCTTAAGTCTTATTTCTACCAATAACAAAAAAAAAATGTTTATTGGAAAGTTATATTAATTTTAATAAGCACATAAAGTCAAATTTTTTTGAAATTGCATATTTACGCATAAATTAATGAATTCTTATCGAGCGATGTTACTATTTCGTTATAATTCAAATACTGAAATCCGTAGATACTTGAAATGATCACCGACAATTTATTTTATCACTTATAGGTATACACGATTAAATTTTCTAATGAGTTTAATTTTTTTTTCTATAAATATCAATAAAAAAAAAGCTAAAATATAAAATACAATGTTCCTCATAAATTGTTACTTGTTCTAGTTGTTCTGACAGTAGCTTAAAAATATTAAAGATGCATATAGGTACAATTTTTCTTTTTATAAAAGCATTTTAAGTTAAAATGTTGACAAAATTCTTCCAAATCTCTAAAATTTGAAAAATTATTTTGTTGTTATTCAAAAATATTATTAATGGTATTTAAAACTTTTACAGTTTTACATATAATTTACATTTCACTTTAACTACGCGATGACATTTTCCAGTATTTAGATTAGTTTTTAGCTATTTGCTATTACGTATCTATAATCCATAACTACCATGAACCTATTCACACTAATCTAAAGGTGGTAATTACTCAAAAGTTAATAACAATAATATTATAATATACTATAAATATACAGTATATGATTAGATAATTATAATTTATACCATTTTTGTCAAATATTAAATCAACTTACCTAAATAATAATAATTACTGAGTTACTTTAATTTTAATAGGAATATCAAAAACATACTATGAAATTTACTTGACATAATAGCTGACAGGTTCTTTTTTCTGAATCATTTTTTTCTTGTACAATGATGAATCACTAAATTCAAATTTAACATCATCTATTACAGTGATCCACTTATGACCTAAACTGTATAGTATAGTGCTGCACACTTGCCCATCTTTTCTAACATTTGATTATCCACTTCTCACTGAATTAATTGTAACATTAAGTAGACATGTAGAAATCTCATTTTTTAACAAACATTTTTAGAGTTTTGTTATTTATAAATACATAAAATAAGTTAGAATAATATTTTTAATTAAACATTCAAATAGTGCTATTTAGGTAATAGAACAATTTCAAATGAAGCTTTATGAAAATAGAATTTTGAATACACAAAGTGTAGGTATTTGAGTATGATATTTTATAGATACTAAGTTTATTTAACATAAATTCTTCCAAAAAATAAATTTTTTAATGAAGTCTATATACTTTTATTTAAATTGAAGTTTTTTATTTCAAGCACCCACATTATCCATGTACATAATAATGTATTAACTACCTTTCAGCATATTTATTAGTATTTTTGAATGCCTAAATGCATGTATAGTTACATGGTAATTTAGTGTATTCAATTCACTGTCTTTATTTTAAATAATAATACAACGGATATATCAATATCGATAAAAGTTTATAGTTGATTAATAGTTCTTCTAGCATTACAACTCATTTAGTGACACTTGACAGACTTACTTGGTTGGTTACAATCTTCCTACTGATTGTGAAGTAGTGAGTATCGGGACTAAGCATTACACATGTATAGGTCACAATTAGGCATCAAAAAATACAATTCACTCATTTTGAGGTGCATTACAGTTTTATTCAGAGTTTTAGTACATTATGTCATATTATTTAAATTACATATATTTACTTATTATATAGAATACCTAAGAAATAACACATAATATCTTTTTTTATTAATAGTCTTTTTATTCATATCACGGTTAGTTGTTACTATTTTTTTTTTTTGTTAACAACATTTTTTAAATTTTTTATAAATGACAATAATATTTTCTTATAATATACTATTTGGAAGTTATTAAATCAAAAAAAATACCTGTTTTTTAAACATTTCATAATTAATCGTAATTTAAATTAAAAGTTAGCATGTTTGAAATGAATAATCTTGAAACATAATCAAATAAAAAATTATGTTAACTGCAGTTATTCAAACTAAATGTGAAATATTTTACTGATTTTCCATATTCATCAAGCACAATAATAATGTGTGATTATAAAAGAATACAGGGATAAAAATATAAAACAAAAGTTATTTAGAAAAATTAAATAAATACAACAAAAGATTAATAGAATTTATATAATAACGTATACAACCAATTTAATAATGTATGTATTTTAATATTTTATTTGACAATAATAAATAAATATCATAAATACTGTTGATTATAACTAATAAGGTCAGTCAAGATGCAATAAAAATAATGAGCGTCTTTTTGAAAATTGTATTTAAAGATATTTGGACGGAATTAGTTAAAAATAGCTATAATAATAATTAAATATTTTTATATAAAATATTGAATATTTCAATAAACAAAATATATCAAAACTTCTCATTATTTTTCCACCTTTAACAATAACTAATACATAATGGAAGGGTAAGTACTTGCATGTATTGCATTAACTATCTTAACTAAACCTTATTACTTAACATGACTAGTAATATATTGTAATAAAAGGCACATAATATATTGTAATACTGTAGTTTGTAATACATGTAGAATTAATACGTTCAGAATTAGAAATGAAACATACAATTATTAAGCTAATATAATTATCTAAATAACAATAAGAAAGAAAGATTAACAAGACAAGAATATAATTTTTAAAATAAACGTATACTTTCAGCTTAACTAAACTATTTAACAACAATACAATTACTCTAATATAAAATAAATTATTACAGGATTATAATTCATTACATATAGTGTCCATGAAGATTGGTGAGGGGTAATGTAAGCGTCATCACTAAACCACTATAAATTAGTAAACCTTCAACAGACATATCATATACATATATTTGGACGGATTATATAAATTAGTCTATTAGTTCCAACATCGTTTAATAACTATGATATTATAAAAATGTATGTATACACAGTTTGATCGTAGCTAGTTGGGACGACATATAACCATTTACATTGTGGACTCTGATGTAAACAATTAAAATAACATGTTATCTACAAAAAAAAGTATTCAGAACCCCATGCACATCAAAAATATCGACTGATACAGATAAAGAACAATCAGGAACTCGAGCTAATAAAACTAGTCAAACAATAATAAAATGTGAAAAATCATTTCTATGTTTTTCTTTGGTAAAACGTTCCAATTTTTCAGAAGAAAAATAAAGACTAACTTTTTTAAATGACCTAATTTATTGTTAGTTATTTAATATTATATAAAAATAAGAATGGTCTATCATTCCATCATTTAAAAAAATGAAACAAAAAAACAATAAGAAAACTTAGAGAGCTATTGTTTCATTTCTAACAAATTCATACAATATTCTTGTATAATAATACATATTCTAAAATGTGCATTTACACCCCGAAAATCTAATTAGTGTTAAAATTATTCTGTGTGTAAATATAATGTTAGTTATTAGATGGCCATTCTTTCTTAAAGGTTAATTAAATATAGCAAATAATAGAATTTAAGGCTAAAAATATTGACAATTGGTGATTTAAATGACTTCAAGTGATAAACGTTTTTTTATCAAATCAATCAGAACATCTAAATATTGTTGAGTACTGTTAAGTGCTGCTCTTGAATTTTGATGAGCAAACATACCGCCACTACTAACAATTTGTTCTAGTTTTGTCATTACATCGGTAACATCTGCTTTAGTTATACGTCTATCATTGACATTGACACAATTTGTATGTTCCAAAATTTTATCGGTTGTTTGAAACAGTTGATCAGCCATCAAAGATAAATAATCTAAAAATTCAGTAAGTATAATTTTATGGAAACTAAAAGTATT